ACACTTCTAGGGATGTTCACACACTGCTTCCCTGAGCAGCCTATTCCAATGCCTGACCAACTTTTCAGTGAATAAATTTTCCCTAATATCTAATCTAAACCTGCCCTGGTGCAACTTGAGGCCATTTCCTCTGGTCCTATTCCTTGTTACTTGGGAGACGAGACTCACCTCCACCTCACTACACCTTCCTTTCAGATGGTTGTAGAGGGCAATAGGGTCTTCCCTAGCCTCCTTTTCTCCAGGCTAAACAATCCCAGTTGCCTCAGCCACTCTTCATAAGGCTTGTGCTCCAGACCCTTTCAGCAGCTCTTTTGCCCTTCTCTGGACATGCTCCAGCACCTCGATGTCATTCTTGTAGTGAGGGACCCAAAACTGAACACAGGATTTGAGATGCAGTCTCACCACTGCTGAGTACAGGGGGACAATCACTATCCTAATCCTGCTGACCACACTATTTCTTATACGAGTCAGGATGTCTTTGGCCTTCTTGGCTTTCTGGGCATGCTGCTGACTCATATTGAGCAGAACCTCTTGGTTCTTTTCTGCCAGACTGCTTTCCAGGCACTCATTCCCAGATTTGTAGCATGGTGTGGACTTGTTGTGCAGGACCAAGCACTTCACCTTGTTTAAACTCATACAACTGGCCTCAAACTCATAGATCCAGCCTGTATTCCTGCAGTCTTCCTACCTTTGAGCACTTGTTGTCATCTGCAAACTAACTGAAGGTGCACTTGATCCCCTCATCCAGATCATTGATAAAGGTGTTAAACAGAACTGGCCCCAGTACAGAGCCCTGGGGAACACCACTTGTGACTGGCCACCAGCTGGGTGTAACCATTCACCACATTTCTCTGTGCCCAGCCACTCAACCAGCTTTTTACTCAGGGAAGAGTGTGCCCATCCAAGCCATGACCAACGAGTTTCACAGAATTACAGAATAGAAGGTATCACTGTGGGTTTTCTGTTCTAACCTCCCAGCTCAAGCAAGGTCATCCTAGAAAGCATTGCACAGGATTGCCTCCAGAGAGTTCTTGATCCTTAGATTACCTCAGTCGGTTAGAGGATGGTGTTAATAACACCAGCGTTGTGGGTTAGATGCCATGTGGACCATTCACTTAGGAGCTGGTCTCGATGGTCCTTGTGGGTCCCTTTCAATATTCTGTGATTCTGTGACCTCCAGTGAGGGAGACTCCACAACCTCTTTGGGCAATCCGCTCCAGTGCGCACTTACCTGCACAGTAAAGAAGTTCTTCCTCATTCAGGTGAAACTTCCTTTGCAGCGGTTTCTGCCCATTGCCTTGTTGTATTGCTTGGCACCATCAAGAAGAGCCTGGCTCCACCCTCTTGAAACCTGCCCTTCAGATACTGATATATATCATTGAGTTCGCCCCTCAGTCATCTCTTCTCAAGGATGAACAAGACCAGCGCTCTCAGCCTTTCCTCATAAGAGGAGGAGGTACTGAGGAGCCCAGAACTAGACACAGTACTGCAGATGAGGCCTCACCAGGGCTGAGCAAAGGGGAAGGATCACCTCCCTTGACCTGCAGGCATCCTTATGCACCCCAGGATACCACTGGCCTTCTTGACCACAAGGACACACTGCTGGCTCATGGACAACTTGTCCACCAGGACCCTCAGGTCCTTCTCCACAGAGCTGCTTTCCAACAGGTCAACCCCCAGCCTGTGCAGGAGCATGGCGTTATTCTTCCCCAGGTACAGGACCCTGCATTTGCCTTGTTGAACTTCAGGCCGTTCTTCTCTGCTCATGTCTCTAGCCTGACAAGGTCCTTCTAAAGGCCCATACTTTCCCTGGGGTATGGGCTGCTCCTGCCAGCTTTGTTTTGAAGGAGAATGCTGTGGAAGGTAATGTCAAAGGCTCTACTAAAGTTCAGATAGACAACGTGCTTCGGTGTAGGCATGCCCTTACATGCTGTAGTGCATATGGAATTTGCTTAAAATCACAAGTTATATGAACGTATGTGATCAAAACTCAAGAGTCCTGACTTCCATTTGTGTTTGGTATCCACTAGACTTTGTCTATTATAAAACTCTCTGTATGAATATCACTGGCAGTTTTCCCATCCAGTTTCAGGGAATCAAGAATTCCTCCATAATATTTCATAAAACAAGAAAAAGGAATGTATCTATAGCTTTACAATTATCCCTAATGAGGAAATAAAACAAAGAGACAATACGTGTACATTTTATTTGTATTAATATCAATGAAATTTGGAGGTCATGTACTCCAACCTGTTTCTCAAATTACATGGTTGACAGCAGATGACTGAACAGTTTGTCTTTCAAGACTTGGGTCTTGAAACATTTTAGGGATGGAGATTGCACAGCCTCTGTGGAGAGGTAATGGCCTGTTATTTACCTAGTGGCAATGACAGCACTGCATTACAGGGCCACGCGGTTAGAGGTGAAACTCACAAGGGTAAATAAACTTTATGGACTGAAATGTGTAATAGGAATCTGCTACAAACAGTATAATTTTCTTATGACCTTGCCTTGCTAGCCATTTTAAAATATGTCATCAAATACATCATACATCATGTTACATTGCTGATGAGTAATTTTGCAGGTTGATGAGAGTAGCTTTGTTTGTGAGAGGTAAGAGTCAAGGTAATTTTTCTTCAAAAGGCTGATAAGTGTTTTGCAGAACAACAACAAAAAATCTGTTGTGTGTTCTTTAGTATTGATCTCAGTTACTTTGAGAACCATGTTAGACAATCCTGGAATCTGAGTTCTCTGTAATTAAGCTGTCTTCTCCATTTAACTAACCACTTTAAGATTAAGAACTCTGGAAGAAAAAATATCTTCAAATATGTATCATTTCAAAGCAAACGAAGAGGGAGGTTTTACAGTCTGTGACTCCATACACCCTCTCAGGTCACCAGTTGTTTTGTGTATGTTATTGAACTCTTATAAGATAGTTTTATTGTGTGCATACTCTCTAAGGGGTAAAAGCAGCTCACCCTAAAGCTAGAGAGTCATAATCTAAAAAAGGCAGATTTCATTTCACTATTCCTGGCATGCGCGGGACTGATCTCAAATCTTGTTTGAAATCACAGCAGAGTCGAGTGGGATTTAGCTGCCTTAAGGTCATGTTAGATGTTCTGTGATATTTAATCATGTCCTGAAGACCACTTCAAAAGGTCTACTGTAGAATCCCATTTTATATCTGACTGTCCCATTTGGATGTCATTAGATGCCTATATTTAACCAGTCTCCCCTATGATGTTTTCTGGCTCTGAATGTCTGCCTAAAAGAAGGTGGTGGCTGACCACTAATGTCCCTTTGCCTTTTCAACCAAAACTCAGTAATTTCCCATGTACCATCAGCTTTTTTTCTATTATGATACTTTTCAGAGTTTTTAATCCCTATTGGGCTTATTTGAGATCAGTAGAAGTGAGCCAGAAAAAGTTAGCAAATATGAAAACAGACAATTTAGCAATGAAGAAATTTCCTAATTTTGAAGAAATGTGGGAAAAGAACAGATAAGACTGTGAATCTTATAATATTTTTACAGGGTAAACTCATCAAAACTGAAATTTTTTCTGCTGTATGGAAGATTTACAAGCCTACATACAATAAGTCATGTCACTGATGACATATCTCAGATGTAACCAAGAATCAGCAGCCTAGTTCTGGGGCAGTTGACACTTTATTTGTAACTGGCTTGCACTGTGCAACATAGGTACTGCTGGTATTCTAGCTGTTACTGTCTGTAGTTTCTCTGGGGTGACTAGAGATCTCTAACACGTACCAGTTATATTACAAGGAGGCAAATGAAGGGCAGTAAAAATTCTGCAACCTCTGCTGATATCTTGACCGAAATTCTTGTTGAAGGACTTTGGGGTATATTTGATGACTTGCTTGTCTATAGCAAGGTTTCTTGACTTGCAAAATGATATCTTGTTGTGGGGTAAAAAAACACCACCTGCATAAGGAACAGAAGGCTAGTCTTGCCTGTGGTTTTCTAATTCTTATCATGAATGATTCATGAGTGTGTTAAAGCAAGCAGTGCATTTTAAGAAAACTAACAAAGTTTCTATGTAAATGAAGTTCAAATATTTTACTGGAAGAATTGACAGTATACTGAGTAATGCTCTATCCAATATGCTTTTTTAAAACTAATTAAGGCATACTCTTTCAGTGCCATAGATATACAGACATTAAAGCAGATTAAGTAAAAAAAAGAATTAAATTGATAAGTTTATTTCAGTTTTTACATGGTATAACTAGATTCTGTATATGGTTTCACATTAATTACAAATCTACAGACGTCATTGTATTTTCTGATAGGGTGCTTACAGGAATAATACAAAAATAATTTCTTGGTGATTTGATATATCTTTAATTTTTTCTTCTTTGGTTATTAGTTTTATTAGTATCATACACTGTGAGATAAGTTAGGTGATAATAGCAAAGACAAGTCAAAGTGTTTAATGAGGTCATATAGATATAGTGCATATTTGAGAAGGGCTGGTAAGTAATATATATAAATGAAGAGAAGCATTCTCTAAAACAGATTCAGTTCTAAATTTGTGCAAAATTGGGACTAGATTATTTTTGCCATTTGAGTATTTTTTGTAGTTTCTGAACAGTTTCAGAATAAATGCTTCCTTATTTCTCTATGAAAGTATCTAATTTGATTTTAATCAGAAGATTTTCAAATCAGCTCATTTTCCTAAATTTGACATAAGATATGAATTCACGTATTACTCCCAAGCTACTTACAAACCTTGAAAATACCATTGCTGTGCATTTAGTTATCTCAATTAGATTTCCAAGTTTGAACAGCTGCTTAAAAATAAAAATTTGTACACTACTGTAGTACTGACTCTATAGATTTACCAGGGTAAAAAACATCTTACCACCATCTTCATGTTCTGCTGCAAGTGACAATCCAATGCCTATGCTGTTGTCTGTTTACATAAGAATCTTGGAAAACATTATTTTCTGATCATATTAAAAATTTTGTTGTTCTGTTTCAGTGAAAGCTGCTGAATTGTCAGGTTTCTGTTATCTTCAGTGGAAGCTCCCAAGACTGTTTGATAGAAAAGATATTTCTAAGGTCTTGGTTAGTCATCAAGTAAGTAGTTTCTCATGTTTTATATAATTTTCATTCACCTCCAGTGAAGTGTTTTTGTTGTAATAATTTTTTTTTTAATTACTTCACCATTATTTTGATTTTCTTTTATACAAAAATGTTTTTCTCTAATGTCTGGTGTTTCTTTAAATTCTGTAACACATTTAAGTCAGTTTATAAGTATTTTAGGAAAAAAAAAGATATTTTCTTAGTATTCCCTTTCAGCACCTAACAGAATGCTGTTCAGTGACCTGTATTGCTCCGAAACTATGAAGCATAAGTACGAATAAGAATTGAACAAATCATCTAAAAATGTAGCTCCATTAGCATGGTAAAGGTGATCAAGAATGGTGTCATGTAGGTAAATCTTAATCGTACCCATTTGTACAATTAAGAAATGGTTAAATGGTTACAAAACAACTAGGTTCTACTACTATCATCTGCCTGTTTGATTTTGAGATTTTCTGATTTTGATTACTATTTCACATTGTTCTTCGTGCCAAAGAGTACTTGTAAGAACAAAGATATAATCTTAAATTTTTTTAATTCCTTTAGACAAATGGTAAGCCACTCATTAAAAGCAGATTCTCTTTTGGTCTTGTTATATGTGTTGTCTAGCATGATATTTTTTTTTCATTTCTATTATTTTACTTTGTTTCCAATCCTAAAGATGAAAATTGAGTTGATGGGAAAGCATTTGAGGTAGGGAAATTATAGGAAAAACCTCAAATCATAAAACTGTAAAATGAGGTGAACTAACTGTTACATTTAAGTGATATTTACAGATTTTACTCAGATAACAGATTTAACCTTTTAAAAATTATGCTGGTGGAGATTAGAGAATTGATGCACTGTCCAGGTCACTTCTCATCAAAATGTAGTGATTTTGATTTTTTTTCCTCCCTCACAGAATACATAAACATTAATTTTCAATTAAAAAAATTGATTCAGTCTGAGTGGCAGTATTTGAACTGGTCTCAAAAATATGTATTTGGATCTGTTTACAAAATATTCTTCTGTTCTTAAACAATCACAGCTCATGAAATCTAGCAATGCTTATTTATTTATTTGTTATTTGGTGAAATAGAAAATACAGTTTTAGTGACGGAAATAATTTCTAATTAGTTGGTCCAACAATATAATCTTATTTCACCACTTGGCAACATCAAAAATAAAGGTGTATTTATTTGTAGGGAACAAGTACCAAGATTATTTATTCTAGAATTTTATAGCTCAAATTGATCATGTCATTCATTACTGTTTAACTTACAAAATAACAGAGTGAGAATTATGTCCCCTTTCTAATGCTGCTTTGTGAATTTAAGCCTAAAAAAAATGATGTTGATCAAATTGATTGACTAGTCAGGAGGAATGATGAAATTCAAATGTCAAATTCAGTTAGTTCTCATAGAATAAGGCAATATCTAACTCTAAGTTGGGAAGCAAAATTAGGTTTATACTTGGGAAAATGTAAAACAGGAATCAAGTATTAAAAATCAAAGAATTAAGAGTTAAGTTTTTAATCAGATTAGCTGTCTAGCAAATTTGTACAGATATTCTCACTCTGGAATAATTTGGGATGCTTGGGATTTTATATACCTCTAAGACTCTAAATGAAGTCTGAATGTATGGGTTTATAAGTTAAATGAAATTTACAAGTGCAGAAATCATTACATTTGAGTGCACATCTGTGTCACTCAGAAGGTAACACAAAATGTTTACATGTGCCCTGTCTTCCAACATATCCAAAAAGGGAACATATTCAGTCATATATCTGCTCATAGACTGAGAAACTTAACATAAATGATATTAATTTTTTCATATGACATCTCATAATTTTGTTCATACTACATCTAATTGCAGTGTGCATTGTGTCAGTTATGTATGACCAAGTTCGAGAATAATATTTTAAGGATGGGAATGTTACGGGTGTTTTTTCAATGTCATTGAATGTCATGAAGTTTTTTCAGCTCTTTAACTGTTGAAAAATTTGGGGTTGCTTCTGTATTTTTTTTTATCACATTAACATAAAAGTGAAGAAGCTCTTATAGGGAACAAAGCCAGTTTTTTTTCTGGTGTGCTAAAAAAGCAAGAGAGTGACTGATGTCAGTGAGTCATAGTTAAAGATGTTGCTGCTTCAGTGGTGTGACACTGGCATGATCTCATTGAGTAGGTTAAACTGTAACACAGAAAGGTGGAATAAAGACATTCAGTTATAAGGGACTCATCAGATGACACACTCCCAAATTCATGATCTCTTTGACTGATATTACAATGCTGCACATCTCAAAGCCTTTGAAGAGCTGTGCAGTTCCCTTTTATGTCAGCAGGAGACAAGCTTTGCTGCAATAAGATTTAGCTGACTTTCTTTCACATACTTTGTTACTGAGCAAAACAGTTATTTTATTATGGTATGCTATCCATTCTGAAAGTATGTTTAGGCAACTAGTAGATTAACTAAGTAATTAAGCATATGATAAGTAATCAGTGTAAGTATTCTATTGTCTTAGCAGTTTTTTCATCTATAGTTTTCTGTAGTATGAGTCCCTGAACACTTAACATATATTTTCAATATCTCCCTGATCTTATTTTATCCTTGGTTCATATTTCCTTTTCCTTTTACTGAGATGAAAATAAAGATATTTGGGGTTGGGACCTTGAATTACTAGTTGCAAAAGGAACAAAATTACTTCCATATGAGTAATTGTTAAAATTCCTATTTAAATTAATTACTAGTTTTAGGACTGAATTCTAGGACTGAATACAGATCCGGTATTCAGTGAACTGAGAATAGGTTTTACATGCTCAGTAAATACCTGTCATAATGCTTTTAGGAAATAAATAAATAATCTATCTCTCACAAATACTTGTTGTTTTACTAAAAGTACACTTGCTTATAAGTAGAAGATTATACTGAAGTATGAGAAAAAAATTATGATCATCTGCACTACAGCAAACTTGAATTTCCTGAACTTAAAGGAAAAGTAACTGTTGGCTGACATTCACTCATTTTAGTTTGAAGGCAAATGAACTATGAAAGAAATGAAAATATGTTTCTATGGTGTAGGTTTCTAGTAACATCAGAAGAATTGTTATGGTTCTAAGATACATCATACTACCTCGTTTGAAGGACCTCCACCGGCAAGAGAGGATGAGCTGGTCTGGAGGCAGCTATATTGGCTTTATGATATTGATTCAGGATAGTTTGAGATTCTCTAACATGCATTGGCATGAACTGGTGTGTAGCACAGCTGCTCTGTTGCATCCTGAAGAAATGCAAACATTCTAAAAAGCAAGATGCATTAAAAAAAAAATGCATGGGTGAATTATAACAGGTGGAAGAACTCTAACAAGAGTTTTCAATTAAATATGTCACAGGAGTGTCAAAGGGTGCTAGATTATGGACTGGCACCTTGTGTATGAAAACAAATGTGATAAAAAGGCATATATCTAGAAATAAATATGTGTCTTTAAAAATGTAGTAGTTTCACAGAAAAATTATGTGTGAAGATTTAATTGTCTGATATGTGTAACAGTGACAGAAGACAATTAACTCCTACCCAGACTGCTCAAACAGTTATGTTTAAGGGATGCAGGAAGAAGAGATTTTCTGATTTGCTTCTTTCTGATGATGCAAGATCCAGGCACAGTCCAAAACTCATCAGTTGATTTTACTAAATATATTCAGAAAATGAACTTATGAAGAAATGTAGCTAGTAGAAATGTATTTAAGCTTTGAAGAAATATACCCAGCTAACATCTTGTATACAGTTCTAAATAGATGTAAAAGGAAAGGGATTTGAGGTACACATGCTATGAGAACTAGAGAAGATTTTGGTTGCAATATAAAGACAAACTGTGTGGGTGACTAATATTCAGTAAGGCCAATGAAAATTTAATTCAACTAATTTAGGTAACAGAGCACCTCATTTTCTTTTGCACTCCCAATATAAATGCTATTTTCATCTCTGTGGTGGTTTGTATCAGCTAATTCCTGCTTAACTACAATTGCTGACAGTGGGTAAAACATTGTCTTTGCTCTTACAAGTACTCTTTGAAGCCTACAGAGCAACACTGGCTCACATTGTTAGTAATAATTGAAATTACTTTTCTGAGAGTAACTTATCTCATCCTAACACACCTTATATTTCTGTCTGCTGTAATTTTGCTTCCTGTGTTCCTTTCTGGATATACAAAGAAAACTACAGCATAAAAGTATAGAGTGTAGGATTCGTTAAAAACTGTTCGAATGCTCTGCAGAGGATGTGCTGGGAAAAACATGCAGAATGAATATTGATTTGTAATGTGTGTTGGGAGTGGGAGAATGATGCGTTTCACAAGAAGCTTTTGATTATTTAAAACATTCCTTTTGTCTTTACTGGCAAAAAAAAAAATCTATCTAGAACTGTTCCTACACAGAAATGTGAAGAATAATTTTTAATTTTAAACAATTGTTAGGAATGTACTAACAGGAATCTGTGTGCTTATTAGAGGATGATAATTATGTTGTCTTTGCAGTTAGTAGGCAGCAAGCAGATTTCTGGATTTTCTGGGGGGCTTTGGGGGTTTTGTTTTGTTTTGTTTTGTTTTCGTGTAAGATTAAAAATTGAATGTTCCTGTTAGAATGCATATTCAAGAGAAGAGGAATTACAGCAGTTAAAAAAATGGAGAAGCAAAGTAGGTGAATAAGGTATAAAATCTACTATTGTAGTTTTTTTTAAGTTTTTAAGGAATATCTGTCCCTTTTGATCTCACTTTCCCTTAATAACATGAAAAACATTAAAAAAATGGCAGAAAGACTAAATTCACTTTATTACCTCAGAATATGCCAGTATATTTTTCATTATATCCTTGCTCTTTCATGGTCTCTCTGGGCCTGGGAGTCTTTGGGTTCCAGGCAGAATTTAACAGAATTTCAGGCAAAGAGAGGCCACTGGCACAAGGTGCAACTGCTGATCCATTGTTGAGTCTTTTGGAACATCAAGAGAAGTCCAATTAGAAGA